ATAACTTTAAAAGGTAGACACTATGCATAGTTTTTCTACCGCTTACTAAATAATATTGAAGTAAGGTATAAGTATAGAAACATTCGGTGTAGAATACACTTACCCATATTTTACAGGTCTAGAATGCTAGTCTACGTTAATGATCTTATTGACAATTTTATATCTAAAGTTCTTTTAGCTGATGACTCAACTTCATACTCCTGTCTTAACAAAAAGTCTTCTCTTTTTGATGGCTTAGAAGAGGCAGCTGATCTTGAATCTGATTTCACTTCTATAACAGATTAGAGCTTGCAGAGGCTTGTAAATTTTAACTCCAACCCTTTACCTGAGTCCTTTTCTTTACGCCTTCTTGGATGGTTTACTACTGACCTTTCATGGAAACCATATATACAATCAATTGCTAACTTAGCATCCACTAAGGTTGCTTCTCTTTATTGTGCTTTATTGTGCTGGCCATTCTTTTACTCCTGATTTCATTCTCTACCTCTACAAATGTCTTATTTGTCCCTATATGGACTACTGTTGTCATTTTTGAGCTGGTTCTTCTAATGATGCTCTTTTTATTCTAGACAAGGTCCAAAAATGGATTGTAAACATAGTTGAATCTGCTCTATTTGCTAAGTTTGAGCCTTCCGCCATCGTAAAGTTGTATCTCTTTCTATTTTCTACAACTCAAAGGAGCTATCATCTCTAGTGCCATCAACTAAAACACATTCTCGTTTGACTCGTCATTCAGCAAAGTCTCATTTACTGTATGTGTCCTTACATGCTCTAAAAACTTTTATTCGTCTTTGTAACCCTTTAGTGACCAGTTATTTATCTTTGTAACCCTTTAGTGACTTTAGTGATTCGTCTTTATAACCCTTTGGAACTCTCTCCCATCTTCATGTTTTCCTGACTTATACAACCCTCAACTTTTCAAGTCTCCTGTCAACCATTTTTTTATCTATAACTCTATTCTTTTTTTTCCTGTTAAATCCCAACTTAATAGTGGTTGCTTGCAGTCTTGTTGGGAGCGAATCAAAATAAAATAAAAAATTTAAATTAGAAAAACTTACATTATTTAAAAAAAACTACAAATAAGAAACGCAAAATATAATCCACTTTTAGCTAAACAATTTCATAAAAGCTCTATTTTTCAAATTAGCAAATAAGAAAAATTTTGAATTTAAATTAACAAAATTTTCAAATTAGTAAATTTTCGATTTAGCAAATTTTTAAATTTTTAATTTAAAAAGAAACAAATACTTTTTAAGTAAAGATGGAATTATTGGTAAATAATCGAAGCACTTCAAAAAAATTCTTGTAATTTCTTAATACAATCAAGTTTTTAATTTATAATAAACTTTTTAATTATGAGTTATGACTTTTTTCCTTTAAATTGGGAGATAAAGGTTTCAGTAATTTGTTATTGCTTTGTAATTTGTATAAAAAAGAAAGTTCATTTAATATATATTCAAAAATGCACTAATTCAAATTAAAAAAAAAAAAAAAGCTATATAAATAGTATATAAGTGATAAAAAATAAAAAATAAAATTATATACACCCAATAATATATTTAAAATAAGCTCACTAATTTAGATAAACATTGAATTTGTTATTTGAATTTTTGTATTTGTTGTATTTATGTTAAAGTTGTTATTGATATGTATGTTGACATTGGATATTTTCATGTTGTTATTAATCTTTATTTTTACAAGTGCAGTTAGTGTGTTACAAAATATTAAGTTTTTAGATGTTTGTCTTTTTAATGATGGTGATGAAGGAAAAATGAGCAACAAAAAATAGAGAAAGGTAACACTAACTGAAATTTTTAGAATTATAGAGTCAAATAGAGTCAAGCCATCCAATAAATCGACTGCAACTATTTGTCTAATAATATACTTTTTAAACATTGTATAGTGTATTTTTAGTTGTATAAACAGTAAGAAATTGAAAGAAATTATACATTTTTATAGTACAAAGTATAATTCTTTTATAATACAAGTTAAATATTCATATACTTTAAGGATTCCGGTGAAAATTTGTTATTAAAAAATTAATATAAAATGAATTATTATATTATAAAAACTCATAGATCATCCAGGTCATGTTTTAAAATCCAGAAAATCATTAGGGTAAAGTATCCGTAAAAAAATCGGCAATATGTTTCCCTAATATTCCTCTAAATTTTGCTTTTAGCTGAATTTTTTTTTTTTTTTTTTTTAACTTTTTTTAATTTTTGTATAAGTAATGAGTGTAAAAGCTTAAAAAACAAATATATTACAAAAAAATATTCTTAAACTTGTATATATGGAATACATTTTTGATATCCGGAAAAACTAAAAGTTAAGAAAAATATCCGGAATTCTGGAAATATCAAAAGATAATCCCTGGAAAATAACAGTTATAACAAAATGATTTATCATTAACTTTCAATAAAGAAGTCAATTTCAACAATATTTTTCTTCATTTATGTATACTTTTTTGCAGGCTTGGTCGGGAAGTGGAAGCGATCGCTCTCGATTGCTGACCACGGAAATAATATTTAGTTGCAAAAAGCTGGCCAGAATTTTAAGTCATTTTGAGAACATTTTAAAAAGCAAAAAAAAATGCGCAAAAGATTATTTAGACCGATGAGAAACAATTACAAAAAAAATAAAATATCTTTTAATGTGAAAAAACTTAAAGCAAAATAAATTACGTTTAGAACAAATATTTTCGAAACATTGTTCTTGTATAATTTTTTTTTAAATTAAGCGACCTTTTTTATATAAAGTAACGTCTCACAATATTTTAAAACGGAAACATATTTTTTAACAAAGTTTGCAAGTTTTAGTTTTGTCTAAGCTAAATTATTTTATGAAAAAAAAAGTTAAATTTTTTAATACCTATTTTATGTTTTGCTTAGTTTGAAAAAGTTAACATATTTGAAACAATTCTTCTTAGTAATAAACAAATGAAATAATTAAATCATTGAATTACTATAGAAATTAAATTAACTAGATAGAAATCAACTAAAGAGGTTAAAAATACTTTGTGACGAGGAAGCAAAACTGGTTCACAATATTGCTGATGATGTTTAGTAAGTGGGCTTTTTAATTTTAATTAGTATTTAAAGCAGAAAAAACTATAACGAGTTCTTAAGAATGGCAACTTGAGCAGAAAAATTAGAGTTAGTAAACCAATATCTAAAAACTTTTCTTTATATCTAATAACTTGCTATATATATTTGTGTTCTGTTGTGACCTCAGGTGTGGTGCTTGTTTATCCGTGAGTTACTTTTGCAATGCATTTGTTTAGTAACCAGAAGCTTCTTATATGTTTGTTACATAATTAGTTTTATAAACTCTAATAATTATTAATAACTTCATTCAAAACGCAATTAAATCATAAAATTTTCTTTAATAGGTTACATTACGATAAAAAACAGACACACAAAATTACATTTACAAAAAAAATACATACTTTTCAAATAAAAAATAAGAATATACTAATAAAATCTATAATTTATAATAAACCTTCAAAATTTAAATAATATATATTTAAAACATTTTTGTAAACAAATAATAACAGTTTATAAGATTTACGGCTTTATATTTTACGGCTTTATATTACGGCTATTATATTTATAAATATATTTATAAAGCCGATAAATTAATTGATAAATTAATCTTTATAAATATGATAAATGATAAATTAATTGATAAATTAATCTTTATAAATATCGGCTTACGGAGGGTTTTTTGTGTTCGCGAAGATACTTTTTTCACGCACCAAGATGAGAACATCAAGTTTTTTATGCTTCCATGTATATCCGTAAAACAAAACTTTTTTATTTCGTACATAAACTTAAATGTTCTCAAAACGACGAAAAAACCTGGCCAGTTTTTCGCAACTAAATATAATTTCCATGGTCAGTATTCGAGAGCGATCGCTTTGAAAGCGAAAGATCAATCGAAAGTTGGTTGTTTGAAAAGTGTTTATCATCAGCATCTGCAACTTTTTCTTTTTTTTATCGAAAATAAAATTTTCATAAAAAAAAAAGAAGAAAAAGTTGCAGATGCTAAAACTCAGGGTATTATTGCCTGGAATAAAAAAAGAAGGAGAAAACCTCTATTTGATGTTTACATTCAGGAGTATCACAATAAACCTTTAAAAATGTAAACAAACTCCCCTTTTAAAGATTTTCATTTTCTTTACTACTTTTATCTCAATTCTACTTCATCTACTCATACTTTTTTTTTTGTATAATTCTCAAATTTCAAAAAAAAAAAAACTAAATAAAAATTATTTTTTTAATATGGAGATTATCAAATTTTTTTATACACTTACGTTTTTTAAAAACCTTTATGTTTGCTGTTGTATGCATTCTTTTTTTAATTTCTTTCAAATTAGACTCACAGTATATATATGTATATATGTGTAAATGAGCTGTTTATTTTGAAAGTGGCATAAATCGCTTTTCAAATAAAAGTTATTGATAACATTGATTACAATGTAACGGTATCTTTTCATTTGTGAAATAATTTAAACCAATTGTGTTGAAAATTATATTTGATTAATTATTGAATTATATTTGTGAAATATTCACAAACATAATTATGAATATTTACAAATATAACTATGAAGTATGAGAGTTGAATAATTTTAATATATGAACATCAATAAATACGAATTCTCTCAATACTAATTTTTTTATTCAATCTAAGAAATTTTCGCTAGATTATTGATACAAGCATCTTCAGTATTATTTACAAACTATTAATTTAATTTAAGTTCAAACAAACGTTTGTTTGTAATTAAAACTGAAGATGCTAATATCAATAATCTAGCAAAAATTTCTTAGATTAAATAAAAAAATTAGTATTGAGAGAATTCGTATTTATTGATGTTCATATATTAAATATATATATATATATATATATATATATATATATATATATATATATATATATATATATATATTAATACAGATCAAAAAAGATCTTTTCTTTTCTATCAACTTACTTTGACCTACCTATGACTTTCATTTGGTCATAAAAATCTTGAAATGAAACTGAATTTTGAAATACTTCTATCAGCCCTTCATGAGTAAGACCATTTCGCAACAACCTTTTTAAAGTCATGGTATAAGTAACTTTAGCTAAACCAACAGGCATGGTAGCTGCAAAAATAAAGTTTATATAATTAAGTTTTATATCAATTAATCACAGTAAAAATCACAGTTTCAATCAAAAGTAAAAGAAAAAAGTTTCTAAATATAAAACTAATGATATAATATAACATGGTTTGTAAGTGCTGAGAAGCAAATAGAATTGCATTGGCATAAAAACAATATAAAAAATTGATATATTTATTATAATTAAGAATATGCAAACAAATTTATTCAAAATGAAAAAAATATTGATTGTTTATATTATTAGTCTCAATTTTTTTTAAACTTTTTTATTATTAAATTCACCTCCCTAAAACTTGAATGTCAGAGCCATTGCAATCAAGGAATTTTTTTTTTCAGAAACTTTATCTCAACCGTTAGCTCTTAAAACACAAAACTTGTTAAACAATGCCACTGTGTGGAAAACAACTTGATTTACTATTATCATTAAAATTTAGAAAGAAATAACTTTTAAATTTTCTTTTAATAAATTTAATTTTGCAAATTCAAAAAGACTACCTATTGAATTTGCATTAGACCTGATTTTTCAAAACTTTTTAAAGGAATTTAACATAAAGATGATAGTGAAAGAGCCACCACAGACAATCGGCTCAAGGTGCCACTTTTTTATAACATCATGATAAAGGTTTTGAAATCAGAGTTACAGAATTATTTGCCTAATTGCAAAGGTGTTGGTTTATATACTAACTATGAGAAACCCTTTGTATTTTTAACTCGTCACTCATTTTAAAGCAACTCTAACTAAAAGAGTTGATTCTAAATTTTTATAATTTTAATGGATGTTGCAATGTTTAAACGATTACCTATGTAATTATTAATTAATACTTAGGATAAAATTTAATTAAAACTGATTAACTGTATAAATTTTAAAAATTTCTCATTCAGACTAAAAAAGAAAGCAATGCTCTACTAGAGGATGTGGTTTTTACTATTGAACCACGATAAGTCAGGCCGATTAGTAATGCTAAGGGTAGCTTTCCTTTCCTCAAATAAAAAATGTGCTTTATAAAACCACCAATAAAGTTTGAACATGTCACGTATTCCGGCCTAGCAAACTCATATATAAACTCCGAGAAAAAAGACACATTAAAATGTTTCTTATCCAGTTCTAAAAACCAAAAATCTCTTCATTCCTTACTTTATGAATCGAAAAAAGTTCCAATTTTGTTGTCTTTTTGATAAGATCTTCATATTTTTCTGGTGTATATATTTGGTCTTCACGTTTTATTTTTCTCTTAACTTTGCATAAGTTATGATCACATGGAAGAAACGAATGACCCCTGACAGGAAAATAATGATAAATTTTGGTACTTATTTAATGATGTTAGGCTCATTAAAAATCTAATAACAATATCATTTTTATTTTAACCTGCACAACCATCTGAAAATATGTACAGTTCTTTTACATGCTCTTTAACGTCTTTTTTTGCAAAAAAGAACATACTTCGTTAAGTCCTTTTCTGGCAATTCCTTCATGATATGAAAAATATTGACTTCCCAGTTTTCAAATCATGGATGCAAAACTTGTTCACCCAGAGTTGTCTATAATAGAAAGTCTCTTGTACTGGTATGTGAGGTAATGGGAGATTTTGCATGTAATCGATATACATGCCATGTGTATCATCCTTTTCTTGATAGAGTTTCTGCACATCTTGAATGGCATTATAAAATATTTTGGCTCGTTTTTTATGAACCATCAGTTCAGCAACTTTTTTTCTTCGCAGTGTAATTTAAAGGAGCACTTTTTATTTTTCTGACTCCTCACACGTTGAACGTCTACTTGTGAACGTCTACACGTTGAAGACGTTGAACACGTTGAACACGTTGAACGTCTACTTGTGGTCTTCCAAATGATAATGAGTAGTTCTCTCGAAAATACTTTCTAAAAAAGTGATATTTAATGGAAGATGGAGGATATTCTCTTTTAAACATATTAAACATAATTTGAATATTCAATGATGCATTCAAACATTTTTTTCTCACATCACCATAGCAACATCACCATAGTGAATTTCTTTTTGATCAAAAGAACCTATAAAATTTTTAATCAAAAGACAATTTTTGCCACTAATACATCTGCTACATGATCCAAGCATATATTCTCTACGTCATACTGTCATTAGCAGTTTTTACTGCCTTAAGTAGTTCACTCAATTGTTGAACACACCTTTTTTTAATTCCAAAAACATTCATAAATGCGACTTTACAAACATTCACCTGAGAACCTTCTTTATTGAAATGGTATAAAACATTAAAACATCTTTTTCCTGGTATTTTTTTTCTTGGCCGCTTATGTGTAATTTCACATACCTCCATTTGACCTTAGAAAAATTTCCTGTTCATTTTTTGTATTCATATCAAAAAATGATCTTTGAATAATATTTTGGGTTTCTGCAGAACTGTGTTCAAAGCACTTGTTTCGACACTTGAAATATTAACCAAATATGAATGAACCATGTAAAAAAATGTATCATGTTGAATATATGACATTGCAGAAAAATTATGAGGACAAAACTAACCAACAATCTTCACCCATTGAAACTGCAGAAATTTCTTTATTTATATAATTTGTATGTTGTAATCCTTTCATTTTTGCCTTTTTTATAACATTTTGTTTATATTTATGAGTGTTAAGCTCTCCCTTTTTTCTTTTTCTGTTGTTTAAATCCATATTTTTGTCAATACTTCCACTATAAGAACTATCAATAACTGACATTTTAATCGAACTGACAGTTCCATAGATACCAAAAAACAGCCATGAACAAAAATACACAATATTTAGTGTCTTATTAATTTGCATATCAAGATACCCGACTCGTCATGTTTTTCATTCTAAATATGTGAACATAGGTCTTGTGAATATTTTTTTTCAAATAACCTCACTTTTGAAAAAGGTGTGACTCATCACATTTTCGAAATGCAGCATTCAATTATACCATATCGTAAAATATATCTGGCTGTTGGAAGCTCAGGTACATAAAGTTTTTATCCATTTCCTACAAGTTTTCTCATTTTAATAAATAATGCATTTCCTGTTCTATTTGACATCTTCAATTAACTAAATAAGTTTACAGGAGCTTTCTTTTTGGTCCGAATATGAAGAATAAATGGAAAGAATTTCTTTCAAAGAAGTGTATAGTTAATAAATAAAGTGTATAGTGTATTTTTAGTACTTAATTTGGTAATAACAAAAATAAGTAATAATAAAATGAAATATTACCAAGTTAGCACTGCAATAATTTCACTTTTAAAAATATCACTCCTGTTAAAAAATTATAAATTTTTTAATAGGAGTGATTAGATTTTTTCTCTTTCTTCTAAATTTAAAATTTTTTACCTTAAAAATTTATGGAAATGGACAAAGAAATATTAGGAAAGAAATGAGAAAATGTAACAGAAGGTAGATAAAGTATATTCAAATACCCCAAGCAAGAATGCAAACATAGTACTCCTCAGTCAAAAAGAAAAAGACTTTAATAGCAGCAGCAGGGGGTTAGCTCTAAAAAAATCCCAACTGTAAAAAGTAGTTATTAGATCAGAAGATTTGTTTACATTAAAACTAACATAATTTTTTATAATAAGTTAATAAAAGAAAATGAATTGAAATCTTTCTGGTGGTAGTGTTACAATAAAAACACTCCTGATTTTCAAAACAAAGCATGTATACCTTTTAAAGGTATTGATGAACTTGATGTTTATACTATTGCAAAAATTACACACTCCTCAAACACAATCCCAAAAGATGTGGTGATTTGACTTTGTGAGAGCGATGACTTTAGTCGACTAAAGTCATTTCTCTCACGTGTTTGATGAGTGTGTAATTTTTGGCATTGTTTAATATTTAGACTATAGTCTAAATACCTTGCTTAAGTTAAATTTTGGCACTCTGCTTATGCTTATGGAAAATGTGCAAATCCAGTTGTACTGCTTTCAATGAATGAGTTCCAATATTGGAATATTAAGATCATGAACAATTAGAAGAACATATAGAAAAATATTGTGTATTTTAGCCTTAACCCCGGAAAATTTGTAAAAAGTGTAAAAAGATATAAAATATATATTACAGGTATAGTGCCCTTAAAAGGACAACAAATTTAAATTGGCTTAAAATAATTTAAGAAGCCTATTTTTTTTTAAATTTATACTATTTTTCATTTTGTCTTAAGTCAAATTTTATATTTTTATTTTGTCTAAAGCCATGTAATTTTTTCCTGGCAGTTGTAAACAGTAATCAAATTTTTTAAAATGTTTTATTTGTATTTGAGATTTTTCTACTTTGGCTAAGAAGCCCTTAAAAAGATAATCTTGTTATTGTTGATATCTGCTTAACAAATAACTCAATCAGGAAGATATTTTGCTTATTATTATCTGCCTAATATAGGTATTATGTAATAGAAAGAATTCTGGAATTACTTGATGATTTTTCAAAACAATTAGAAAAATTATGAAATTTCACCCAAATAATTCATTTCCTAATGAGCATTAAGAACCTCTTTTTCTGAAACTATTTAATAATATTGTATTTTTATCTTTTAGATGATCTTGCAAAAGAATTGGTGGTTTATGGCATCACGATTGAAGAAAATTAAGAAGCATCTGGTCATTAGACCATTCAAATTGACATATATTGGAACTTCAATCACGATGAAACACCACAGTTTGTTAACTATAGTATTATTGGTTCAGCTACCGAATTAGTATATGTTGGGTATGGTGAAAGCTGTCAAAAATGATTTGGAAAAGTCTTGAATGTTTTACAATAAATCTAATGGTGTCATTGTAATTACCAAAAATAATACTAAAAATTTTAAAATTTAAATTATTATATTTTGCTTTATAAAACTTAATATTAAAAACTATTTCATAAAATTTATTTTCAATATATAAACATTTTACAAGAAGTGCTTTTTAGTGTAAGTGGATATTGTCAGAAAATGGCAAACTTGAAAATAAATATATTTTAAAATAACACATGTATTTTATACTTTGAAACTTCAGAAACATTTTCACTACTTAAATAATTATTTTGATGAAAAATGCATCTGCCATGTAATATTTCGCACTCAAGGAATTACTAATCAGATGGATCCACTAGATGCTGTTTGAAGTATTCAAAACTTATTGATTTCGACAACAGAGAACTACCTCCTTTTCTATTTTTTTGTAAAAAATAAAAAAGGAGGTAGAAAATCCAAGAAAAAAATTTAATTTTTTTTAATTTTCTAAATAACATTTTTATTCAAAATTCCTTCTAAATTATAAGGAAATTTCTGTTTTCACTTTTTTGATATCGCACAATCCTTTAATTATATAAAGCTGATGCAACTATTATAAAATATTATTTTTCTAAACTATTATAAAATATTATTTTCTAAATTTTAAAAAAGTTCAGTAAATATTTTTGTTATTAATTGTTATGAGAAATTGTCTAAATAAATATTTTTGCTCTTGCAAGATGATAAATAAAGGTTTTTTTAATATGTTACTTTTATGATTTCTTTTTTAAGTGTCAAATAGCATTTATTTTTTTTATTTTTGCTGAGAATTTTTGATGGAGAAGTTAGAATAATAAAAATAAAAGTTTCTTTGTTTTTTCTAAGCTTATTACATTTGTTAATAGCATGAATATCAAACCTAATTGGTTTTTATAACGTTTATTTCTTCTTTTATCTTACTGCTTAAACGATATATCTAGACTTGTTTAAATCTTAAAAAATTATAAAAAGAGGCTCGACCAAAACGGCTTACTGCTTACATTAAATGGCTTGGCGTGTATGTAAATGGCGTACCAGTTTATGCTTTAAAACAAGGCCTAATACAGCAGACAAGTATACTAGACCAGACATACTAGACCAGTAGCCACATACTATAGTTACGAAAAAAGAACATATAAAAATTCAAAAAATATATTTAAATACTTTATGTACTTAAATTTTGTAATTTCACAATTTATACTTGAAGGGCTTAGTGCTAAAAGTACTCATGCCACAAAATAAAAGCTTTGAGAAAATCTACTTTGATAAGCTATTTTAAATCCTTAATTTGAAGTATTATATCTCTGATCTAAGAGGATTTTCTCAAAACATTTTGTGACTTTAGAACTTTTAGCACTAACCTTTGTTGAGAAAATGAACCAAAATAAGTGATTCTTTGATTTTTAGAATTTAATACTAAATAGCATATAAATACAAATAGCTATAACATATAAATATCAACATATAAATAGCTATAACATTTTTGGATGTAACTAAATAATATACAAAAATATTTACAGAAACACTATTTGGTAATTCCATATGGACTATGGTAATAAAACACAATTTGGTAACTTCATACTTAAGTGTACTCTGAATACATTACTTCACAACAAATATAAAACGTTTAGCTTATACCATTTTTATAAAAAAAAGTTTATTTTAGTAATTTATACATTGTTCAAATAGCCTATACTTTTACTGTAAAAATAATGAATTTACCTTCTAGCGTTCGACAGTTTTCCTTATTATTAACACGGGAGGTAAAGTCCAACTGCCTGAAAGTAAAAAAATTATTTAAAATATTATTCAAATACTTTTTCAGTTCATGGTCATACAGTAATTTGAGACTTGAAATAGATTGTTCAATAAGTACATCAATATAAATTTGGCTTATTATCTGCTGATGTCCACACGGTCTCTAATAATGATTTTTAAAAGTTAAACAATGTATCTTACATATCAATGGATTTTATGCATCAAATATATTATATGTATTTTATTCTTAATGATTATGAAATAATTGGGTCCTAGACTTAAACTAGTGTTACAAACATAATTTAATGTTTGTAATATACATCCTAAAATACCTATATATATAAGATTTTGTAAATGTGTTAATGTAATTTATATTTTTGCTTAGTGTACTTAAAACATAAAATATTTTGATATTTCGTCGCTGCAAAACAAAACTAAGTTCATTTTTGGCAAAATTGACCTTTTTGGTTTAAAATACTCCTTAGGTGCACAAAAGTCATCTCACAAAGTATGGAAACAAAACTGATTCAACTTTAGCAACTATAAGTAAAATTCAAAAATAGTTAAGAGACATCATTTCCGCTAAACAAAACTATTTTAAGCCCATTTTTTGGCAAAAAAAAAACTTTTTTGGTTTAAAATACTTAACACATAATAAATAACTGAAAACAAATAGAATTAATCAAAAAAAATCAGAAGCAGAGATTAAATGTAAAACTTTAAATGTCTTTTTCTCAGAACATCAAAACGGACTTGTTTTGATTGTCTTGTTTTGCAGCGTCTATTTAATTTGTAGAATTTTATCATATTTTATATAGTTTAAAGATTATCTTAATTCCATTTGAATTGTTGCTTCTTATAAACTTAAAATTTTATTTTTTTATTTGTTATATTATGAAAAATAACAACATATTCTAAAAGTATTTTAAAAACAATTTGGTTTACTTAAGAAGATCAAATGCATTGATGAATAGAAAACTTTAAATGTCTTTTTCTCAGAACAGCAAAAATGGACTTAAGTCTTGTTTTGCAGCAACGATTTATTCATATATAATATAAGAAAACACAAGAGCCTAATACTTTGGATGCAGTTGTAAATGGCTTTAACTTAATTGCAAATAATAACTTGTCTACTTTCATGAAGCATATTTGACAAAGATAGCATATATGTAAAAGCTCTAAAATTTGTTACAAAGAGAATAATAAACAAAGACTAAAAAAAGAACTGACTCTTTGAAATGCTTCCATTGATGAAGATAATTCTGCTCTTATCTCAACTATAGTTTCTGGCAGAACCCAGGTGAATTTGATACTTCAAATAATAAAATAAAGAGAAGATTTGTTTTGGGTTGAGAAGTAATTTTGAAACCAAAATTTTAATATTATTATATACACAAAAAGGTTTAAGCTTTAGGTTCTTTTTTATATGGATAATGTAGTAGTTCAAGAAATATAAAATAAAAAATTACATTTAAAAAAACCTAAATTTAGTGATTGGCTATGTGTTTAATCTTTCAAATGCATAAAATAATTTTTAATCAGACTGCCACATCAATTCTAGTTTACAACTTTTAAAAATAAAGTAGTATAAAATTGTGATACAACTTTGAAATTTTTTTTTTCAAAATTATATTACAATTATATACTAATTTAGCATCCCCTGTCATTCAAAAAAGAACCTAAAAACAACTAAAAAAAAGGATATAATTTATTTAAGTTGGTTCATATTTATATCTTAATGTTACAACACATTACAATATTACCAATAGTGCATAAAAGTAAACAACAACTCTTACTTTATAACATAAATCAAAAAAAATTTAACACAACTTTAATACAAGTCAAAGCAATGCTTGAAATGCTGAAATGCGGATATTAACATTAAATTATGCAACACGGTATTCTGCCTTAGTATTAAATGCATTATAGGCATTATATGTCAATTCTCTAATTTCAATTGAATAAATCCATCTCTTGATTTATGACCACACATTGCTGTGGATGCTTCAGCAACAACTTTAACGCAGCTTGAATGTGACACGGAAACCTGGGATAATTGATAAAAGTTAATTTACCAGTAATGGTTATCTCTCTAATAACTGTGTTAGAAAAGTCAAACTTCAATGGAAGTTCAGTAATTTTAGTGCTTTGCCAATCAATTAGATTGATGTAATCAGAACATGGGAACCATTGTGCCAATGCTGACAAACATTCACCAAGAGACAGCGGTTGTGATTTACCATAAATATTTTTGATCCATGCTGAGATTTTTCAACTCAAACTTAGACAAATCAATCAGCCAATCAAAATCAATGTGTTTTTTTTCCAAAACAAATTACAGTCAATTATTGCCATTTTGATAATGCTGTACCTATAGGTCTATATATAAATCCACAAGGACTGGTTGTTGGACCATGAAGGTATTAGAATAAATAGCGCAGTGGCAATTATTTGCTATGAAGATGACATACTAGCCACTGCAATGGTCTTCCTACTTCTTTCTTTATCAGTCTGATAACACCATTAGATTGTCAGATGTTGACATTTGTACCCATCGCATCCAATTGCTATTAGTTTATTTAATAAAATTTTATTCTCCCAGAAGCAATCTATAATACTTCGTTTGATTTCGGCTGAGAAAACGAACAGAAAATGGGCCTCCAATAAGAAAGAGTCCCAGCATCGACCTTCAAACTAACTTTCACTACTCTTTACTGCAATCTCAGCAAAGAGTAATAAAACAAAAATGAGGCGTAAAAATTAATAAGACTATATGAGTTTAGTTGATTTTGTTGATTATTGGGATTGATTAAGTAAAAGTGATAAGTATTATTGGTTTATTATTAAGTAAAATTAATAAAGAATGCAAAAAAAAATTATTATTCTGTTTTTGGGACATAAATTGAAACAAAATGCTTAATAAAAAATGGTAATATTTGACCATTGCACAAGGAACCAGGCTCTTTTATTATTTATACGTGTTTTTGCGTAGTAATTGTTTGAAGGTAATATTTTCCAGTTAAATTGCTTTTCTTCATATTCACTAAAGTTTCTTTTTTGTGTCTATCAAAACAGACGCATCACACAACATTTAACTTGTCTCGCTCTTGTGATATTTCACATCAATTCTTAATTCTCTCATTAGACAACAATATATGACCAATGAACAAAAAACCAGGTTCTTTTATTAATAATATATGTTCTGTGGTAATTGTTTGATGGTAATATTTTCTGAGTAAGATTTTTTCTATATTCACTAAAGTTTTATCCATGTGTCCATTGTAAAAGAGGCATCAGACATTAGGTATATGACAAAAAAAAAATTTTTCAAAATTTTAATTTTCCTGAGGTTGCATTTGATGAATTTTTACCAATAGATCACTGTTTTGAGGTTTATTTCATTGGATCACATAAAAACCTGACGCACCTAGCAACTCACCACTTTTAACTTTTTTGATTTTTCACTTGATTTTGTTCCCAGTTCTTACTTCCTTATGCTTGACTATGGTTGACTATGCTTGAATATAACTACAAAATGGAGAGCGTCAAACAGTTTAAAAAGTTAAAACATAGAATGAAAAAGTTGGATAGTTTTAAATTGTTTTTATGTTATGTAACTCAATTTTGAATAACAAATTTTAACGACTGTTTTTCAAATTAATGCACGTTTGTTGTTGTTTGTTGTTGAGTATTTTTTAATGTTCGCGCGATTAAAAAACTGAGTAGAAGTATTTAAAAAGTTTTTTCATTATTTGCAGTATTAATTTGCAAGATCTGCTGTTTAGTGCTTCTTTTTGAAAATATGTCCTTTAAAAGTGAAAAGTCAAAATCAGCAGTGGAAGCAGCTGGTGAAATATGGACACAAAATTTGAAATTAAACACGAAGCACCGTCCTAATATACCACAGGTAAAACAGGATATGAGCGACAAATTGTGTAAAATGCCTTTCAACAGAGATATCGTTGGAAGATTCTTGGGACTCTTTAATGAATTGAAAGGACGACATGATCAACTAACAAAAATATCCGAGGAATTGATGAATCTTTGGCAGAAGTTTAATTTTCCTGTTCTTTCCAAACAACAAGTGTCTACTAATGTTTATAAACTTAACACATCATTTGAGAAACACAGAAAGCGACCAAATGCAGTATTTGAAGAAAATCTTGCTCATCTGTTCGATATAACAAAACCAGATGGAAATTGGCTTTGTAGTGAGGGCAAACAACTGTACAAAGTACAAATTGAATCAGATGGCAGGGTGGGATATACAACTATGAAAGTGGCTCCTGTATCAACAATCCATCAAAAAGGGCCAAAAGCAAATCAGAACCCTCGACAAACCAATCGGTTATCTCCGTACCACTTTCCTGCGATAGTGAGGATTCTGAGGAAGGAAGCAGCAGTGGTGACTCGGAGGCAGTTCCAGGAGAATCTCGCAGAAAGCGTGCAACACACCAGTCAACTAAGTCTGCTGCCAAACTAGTGTCTAGTCACTCTTTGTCAACCAGAAAAACGTCACGGGTACTTCAAAGTCTGGCTGAGGATGGAGTTTGTGTCCCAACACCATCACAGTCTGCAGTCTGGCATCGAACAATCAGAGATGCAGAACAAGTTAAGAACCGCCTCATGGAACTGATCCCTGAAGAGAAATTTTCTTTGCATTTTGATGGTAAGAAAATTGTCAAGACTGAGTACCAAGTTGTGTGCTTGAAAAATGACAAAAGAACATTACAACTTGGCATTTTGGTTTGTGACAGTGGATCATCTGCAAGCATATATAAACCACTACAGGACCTACTTGATGATTACAATGCATGGAACAGTATTCAGATGATCATCTCTGACACAACAGCTGTAAATACTGGTCGCAAGAATGGAGTTGTAGCCATGCTTCAGAAAACAAATGCGAGACAAGGGATTCAATGAACCTCAATACATCGGCTGCCAACACCACATTCTTGATCTTGTTCTACAACATGTGTTGGATTTCTTTTTTCCTATACAGTCACAGTCGCCTAAC